AACAACAGCACAACAAAAACAACAGCAGCAGCACCAACAACAGTCACACCAACAGCACCAACAGCCGACGCAGCACAACAGTCTCAGCACCAACAGCACCAACAGCAGACGCACCAGCAGCAGCAGACGCAGCAGCAGCACCAACAGTCTCAGCACCAACAGCAGCACCAGCAGCAGCAGCAGCTCCAGCAGCAGCAGAGCTCTCACTCCAGACACCAGCAGCACCTCCGCAGCAGCTCCAGCAGCAGCAGCAGCAGCAGCAGCAGCACTTCAGGCACCAGGAGAAGAGCTGTGAGGCTGCAGGGTCCAGGGGCCACCACAGCGGACACCTGGCCCCGCAGGAGCACCTCAAGGTGGGTGTCACATGGTTGATGCAAAGACAGTTTGATTTGATAAGATGGGATCATAGTAGTGTCATATTTATGTTGAGCATGCAACTGGCATGTCCAGCGCTCAAACTGTATTAGTAAAATCACTCAAATGGGTTAAATCAAGAAAGTTACAACAGGTATGCTCATATTTTTTGGACTGGTTGGTCAATTTGAAATACTTAGTTGTTGTAACACCGCAGCAGATCACGTTCACACTGCCACAGCATCAAATGATCCTGAAGTTGCGTAGGAGCTTTTCTCTGTCCTGGGCCTTGCATTAAAATAATGGGCCCAGTGCTCATAGCTGCAGTGAGATAAGAATGTAAAATCATGATATATTATAATAAATAACTTCAGTTCAAAATGATTACAAGAATTGTATCTTGTCAGTGGCAAGTTATACATCTTTCGGAACCGTTCAATCAATATGTGATAAAGATCGTTGATAAGTTCTATCTAATAAGACTTTTCTTTGTTCCTTCCTCAGCCTGGTCAGGACCATAATGCAATGCAGAGGATGATGAGCACAAGGACTCTGAGCAGCAGCTCATCCCGTCTCCCAGTAACTCTGTGTCCCGCCCCTCCTCCGACCCGTCCTGCGCTCCGTCCCGGCAGGAGCGCCACCGCGTCTCCAGCTACTCTGCGGAGGCTCTCATCGGTAAAACCTCCAGCAGTGGGGAGCAGCAGCAGCAGCAGCGCATGGGGCTCCAGCAGCCGGACCTGCGCGGCTACCTGGACTCGTCACGGGGGAAGACCAACATCTCTCACAACCCACAGAACCGCCTCACTGCCGAGCATCCGGGATCAGCCGATGTTCAGAGGGTCTCTGAGTGTCCGCCTTTCAAAGCTATGGGAGGAGGGGGACATCAGCTGGGTGGGTTTGAGGTCCAGGTGTCCCGTGGGAGTGACATGGTGCCTAAGTCAGGTCCCTCGTCCCAGAGGGGCCCTCAGGGGCAGCAGCAGGGCGGCTTCAGGATGGGCGTCGGCCCTCAATCAGATGGCAGGAACCGCTACAGTGCGCTCATCCCGGCTCACAGGGCGTGCAGGTCGGACAGGAAGTGTGTCACCAGAGCTTCATGCAGAGGCCTCCTGTCCCCCCACCTGCCCGAGCAGAGCAACCACCAGCGAGTGCAGTGCTGCCCCCCCGTCAGCATGGAGTACAGCTGCGTCAGCTCGGCAGGAGACATCCAGGCCAAGAGCCCCAGCGTCCCCCAGACTCAGAAGGCCATGCGGCTCGGAGAGGGCAACAAGAGCCACATATCTCAGGTCAGCAGTAATATGCATGGAGGTGTGCGCCCAGGCCTCCCCCACCCTCCCCCCCCTCACAGCAGCTCTGAGCCAGGCCGCTCCTCTGCACCCTCCAGACCCCCCCTCTGCTGTCAGCCAGCACTCCCGCCACTTAAACAGAGACTCTCAACCTACAAAGCTAAGACCTGGGGACCGGCCCCGATCGGGAGCTCTGAGGCACAGCAACCCCTTTGAGCCCGAGGGCCACCTGCCCCTCCCCTCGGGCGGGGGGGTGCTGCTGGGCAGGCCGCAGTCTGGAGGGGAGGGAGGCGCAGCACTATCGTCCGCTTTATGGCAGATGGCGCTCAGGTTCCCGGCGACAACAACAACCTGGTTCCTGACCAACACCTCTCTCAGAACTTTGGTTTCCCCTTTATTCCAGAAGGAGGCATGAATCCCCCGCCTTCCATTAACGCCAACTCCACCTTCATCCCTCCCGTCAGCCAGCCCAACTCCTCCCGAACCCCCTCCCTCCTTCCCGTGGAGCCTCAGAACACCTTACCCTCCTTCTACCCTTCTTACTCTCCAGCCGCTCACCCCAGCCTCCCCAGTGACGTCACCCCTTCAGTACTTTCCCAACCAGATGTTTACCAGCCCGGGTGCAGATAAGGGCAGCTCCGCTCCGCTCAACAACCGCTTCGGCTCCATCCTCTCGCCGCCTCGGCCCGTTGGTTTCGGGCAGGCCAGCTTCCCCTTGCTTCCTGATATGCCTCCTATGCCCATCACCAACTCCTCTGGGATCACCCCGCACATTTCCAACTTCAGCCTCACCTCGCTGTTCCCTGAAATCGCCACCGGGATGCCCGCTGACGGCTCGGCCATGCCCATGTCTCCCCTGCTGTCTCTCTCCAACACCTCGGCTTCAGACTCCGGGAAGCAGCCGAACCGCCCGGCGCACAACATCAGCCACATCCTGGGCCACGACGGCAGCTCGGCCGTGTGAGGAGACTCACACGTTCTGCAAGATATGTTCCTTTTTAAACGTTCACAAAGCGGTGCTGAAGACACCATGTCCGTCTGATTGTTTACATGTTCACAATCTCAATTTTTGGCATATGTATGATGTCGAAGTTATAAGTTGTAATATTTCAAAAACTTTGTTGGTTAAACTGACTGTTTGGTATTAAACATTACATTTAATGAATTGAATGTTTCTGGGTCAGTAAGAAACCTGCAGTTACCCTCCGATGTAATTTACTAACTATATCAGGTTGTATTGTACAGAATGTTTTTTTCCCAAGAGCTATTTTGTAAATAACAATGTTTCATATCAGAATTGCTAGATTATGTATGTATTTGTAAATACAAGATTGATTAATAAAGTTTATAAGAATACATTTGTATTTGATGCCAACTGAAGAACAGTGTGGTGTCTATTCTTCCACTAGAGGGCACCTGAACTCTGTCACTGACTTTAGTTTGTTGTAGCTCTGGGAGGTTGTTTTTAAATCCACCAGAGACCAAAAGGAGATTAGTGTAGTGGTGACTTGACTCTACCAAGAGTTGATTTAAAACTAACTTGCCACATCTGTAGACGGAAATTACACAAGCAAATGATTTGTTTTAGTGTAAAACATAGCTAAGCGTGTCCCATTACACTCATTTTTAGCATCATATCAGTATGTAGTGTCTACTGGGACATGTCTCCATGCTTCAATGTTCAAAAAGCTCTTTATTTTTCTCATACTGCCTGTGCTGCGGCACCTCTTTTCAACCCAGAAACAAATATGAACCTGAAAAAAGGATCAAATAGGGCTCCTTTAACATTAGTAATAACACACACGGATTTTCCCCGATTTAGCACACGTTATTTTTTACCTTAACACTAGGGATAACACATGTTTCCTCAACAATAGTGATAACCCCACAAATTCTCACCTATCACTAGTGATTTGCACATTAGCATTAGTGATGATAACACACTTTGTAGCCTTTGCAAACTATTTACTTCCACAAAAATCTATATATATATAACACACTACAGGAAAGGTAAAAACCCCAAAAAGCAGAGGTGGGTGTTGGGGAATCATTTGCTTAGGTATTCACCCTTTGACACAGTTCAGCATTTTCTCTTTTCACTGTCTCTTTCCCACGGCATAGGTCTACGGCAGGGGTGCCCAACCTTTTTTGAACCGAGAGCTACTTTTAAAGTTGCCAGTCTGCCGAGATCTACCAGGCCAAATAGAGAGGCGTAGCCATTACTGACAGCCTACTACCAGGTAAATACACACTTCTACTTGTATAAAACTGACCTTTGTACAATTAATACTTCATAAAATACTGCAGATCCTTTATCTTACCTTGGCTCTTTCTAATCTTCACACATACAAGTATTTAACTGAAGTTACACAACAGTGTTGTTGATAACAGAGTGGAGTTTATTCACACGTCACTACAGTGGGTAATGTTTTCAAGAACATTGAACAGTGCTGCCACATATGACACAGGAACAAAAAGAAAAGACCTGAACCCTTTCTTTGCCATTATATAAAAATAGTGTTGCTACAAAAGTATAAATGAGGCTTACTAATAAGACAACTCAGATCTGAAGCTACACAGAAATCTGCTGCCAACGTGCAATAAAAAAAGACTAAATTAATAGAATCAAACCCTTTTTTGTTGCATTTTAGTAGATTATAAAAAGAAATGCCTTTAATAGGATGCAAGCAACACTAGTTTCTTAACCTCAATTGATAATAGACTATAATCAATTTAAGTTTGCATTCTTATTACCATTTTGTACAATAATTATAATGAATAAGTTCAAACAAACTAAAACTCAGCTGATTAATAACGGTATCTAACTTGAGTTTTATCATATCAAAAACCTGTTGAAATGCTGCTCTTATTTTTACTGTCCCCCAAAAGCGCGTCGGCAGCCTCCAGGAAATGTTTTCTTTCACAAACTTCGCCGTCTTTGAAAGACTTCATGTGTTTCGCAAGAACGTGACTGACACGATAAGATGCTCTGGTAGCAGCCTTGCTCTTGTTGTTGGGCCTGGTGAAAATGGACTGCCGTGCATTTAGTTGTCCTTTCAGGCCCCTCCCCTTTTGGGAGCGTAGGGCAGAATTAGGAGGGAATTCCGTCTCGTAGCGTTTGTGCACTGTTTTGAAATGCCGCTCCTAAATTACCCTTCTTCGATAAAGCCACGCTCGCATTGCAGATGAGACAGATGGACTTTGAATTGGAATAGATACAAAAATAATCATCCTCCCACTCGGAGTGAAAATTATATATTTTGGGTTTATTTTGCTTCTGCCGTAATTGCGGTCTTGCTGTGTGTGCGACTGTCACTCCTGTTGACACGGACAACGTCAGCTAACTAGTGCCCACTGCCCACCAGCCACGCCCCGACACATGGGGTCACGCCGGCCAATCACAAAGCTTTGATGCATTCAAGTGCATTATTCTGGCACAGGAAGATTAAGTTATAGGACATTAACGATAAAACAGAATATTGTTGTTCTATTTTTAGACACATCTCGCGATCGACTGGGAATCTCCCCGCGATCGATCGGTCGATCGCGATCGACTGGTTGGGCACCCCTGGTCTACGGCCTTGGGTATTGCTGCTATCTCTCTTAGGAGGGGCAGCTTGGGCGCATTGTTTGCTTGCCAGTCTATGACAGAGCACAAGCCATGAGGTAGTTTACTTTTCTATGGACGACAGCTCTAGTGAGATTCAGGGGCCATATTTGTTTAGTCTCGCTGATGAAGAATGTTGATTATTACACTCCGAACTAGTTAAAACCTCGAGCTACAGGAGGGTGCTTCAGAATTGATTGTGGCATCTCTACCGTGTGGTCAACTCGTGGCCCGTGACATCGTGTGAATTCTCCGGCCGAAGCTCCAAATAAACCGTCAGTGTTTGCCATCAAAGCTCCAGCTCTCCTCGTGTCTCAGAGTCCTGACCATCGTCCTGACTCTATTGCTTCAGAAGTTTCCCCCACAGTGGGCATACTGAAATTGTACCAAGATTGAAAGGATGCGCCAAACTCTGTCAATTTTATAAGCTTTTATTTACATGCAATAGTGCTCCAGCATGTGCAACCACAGAGCGGCCACACTGATAAAGGGACGTAGATTCAGGATCTCCTTCATTTCGATTGCAGATGTCTCTGGCAAAGACTAATACTTGGACCTGTGAGGAGGAATAATACTGACACACCTGTCACAGCCCTCACCTGGCCGTCATTTGGTAACCAGCTAATGAGTAAACACAGACGTGGTTGCAGTATCAAGTTCAGCTTATCGATGACTTTAAGAGTTAAAGATATTTTTCCAGAATCTCTCCCATTCAGTGATTTAAAAAAATAAATAACTATACAATATATAATCTCTTGTACACTACTGAAACAGACTTATGGTGCATACACTTGTTAATAGGTTGTTAATGATGAACAATGCATAATACATGGATTATTGCTATAGAAACAACTAAAGAGCGATGAAGCGCCTTATAATTACAGCGTGAGACTGGTTCCAATGGTCCCTTTAAAGCGAGTTATCTAAGGATGGAGGAATGGTGCGAGGAAAGGAGACATGAAGTGCTGAGCTGCGAGGAATCCTCTGCAGACTAAAGGCCGATCTTCACACAAGGAATAAAAACATATTTCCCTCCCCAGGAAACGCAGAAAGAAATCAGCAAGAGCCTTTTTTTCAATGTGAAAATAACCTTATATACAGTATAACCAGACACTATGTACAAAAGCATAAATATATAAATATCTGTGATACAAAAATAAATATTTTCTCTTGTTTTCTTCTGCTGAACAGTCTCTTTATGCATCTGTTGTGTTGGCGGTCCCTTCGCCCTCGGGGGACGCTTCATTTGGGAGGATGTTCACTTCCTGTATCGTCGTGTTGTCCTGGGATTGCGGTGTCGTGGCCGCTGAAGACGGCGTGGTAAAAATCCCCTCGTCTTCCAGAGAGAGAAGAGGAAAGGAGGCTGGCTCTGCAGAAAAAAAGGGCGGGTCAGAAATATGTGATTGTAGTGTTTAAAAATGAGACATTGGTTAAGAGATGTTGTTAGATCGACAAAGGTAAGAGTCCACTCGTACTGTAATTGACGTCATCCTCTGCTTCATCTTCAACATAAAAGTCTCCATCTCCTCCCAGCTCCTGAGAACCCAGGGGCTGATGGGAAGAGTCGAGGAGCTGCAGAGTGGAGTCGTCTGCAGGACAGCAACCATGTTCATGATGGTCTGGACCTCTGAGGAACGAAAGAAATAAGGTGTTTATAGAAAAACTGCAAGTAGTACTTTTTAAACAGCTTGGTTTAGTGAACTTTTACATTTACGCTCTATTTCTTCCGCTTTATACGTAAAAACAACCATGATGATGTTCTGTGCTCTCAAATTGACGGTGACCTACACTCAATACTGCGCCTGAATGCATCCTGTTTGGACAAAAACGTTGTGAAAATGCTCTGCTAACATTGCGAGCTTTATAG